AAAACTTTATTTTGTTTCTTTGTAGTATTCACTGTTTGGCTCAATATTGACATTTGGTGCAATGATTGGTGCAATCGCGAGTGGGCCCATGGCTGATTTCTTTGGTCGCAAAGGGGTAAGTTAAATGAAGTTTGCACATTATCAACCATCATCTTTTAGAAGAAGCTCAAACAACCAAATGCTTCACTTTGACAATGGGAACAGGCACTGAGAATATCAACTGTTTTCTGTACAGCCGGGTGGCTAGCTATTTACTTTGCTCAGGTACATCAATTTTTATTCATTGAGTTTGTTGAACAATACTCCAATTTTACATTTTTTATTATTAAAGGGTCCTCTGCCTCTAGACATTGGAAGGCTAGCAACAGGATTTGGAATGGGAGTCTTTTCCTATGTGGTATGTTAGTTTTCCCAACATTGAGTGCCAATTATTTGAATTTATATGATTTCTTTCTCTTTTACATAGTATGTTTCTGTGTTGTAAGGTACCTGTGTTCATAGCTGAAATTGCACCCAAAACTTTAAGAGGGGCATTAACAGCAGCAAATCAGGTTGCCATTGCTAACCACTTTATATTATATAGATCTCATATGTTATTAGCATAATCAAAGTTGAAATACCTCTAAACTGTTCCTACCTACTCTGCAGCTCATGATCTGTACAGGAGTGTCTGTTGCCTTTATAATCGGAACAGTGCTAACATGGAGGACCTTGGCATTGACAGGTTTTAAATCGGTCAAAATTATGTTTATTTACTACCAGTGGCATTCTTATGGATAAAGAAAATATGAAATAAACCCTTCAAAGAGTGATGAATTCTAGTGTTCTGTTTGCAGGATTAATCCCTTGTGCTGTTCTATTAGTGGGGCTTTTCTTTGTACCAGAATCTCCTAGATGGCTGGTATGTGAAGTATCATGATTCATGAAGCTGTTTAATTTATCTTCAAGAAATTATGTTTGACATCATGCATGCAGGCAAAGATAGGAAGAAAAAAAGAGTTTGATGCAGCCCTAAGAAAACTTAGAGGGAAAGATGCTGATATATCTGAGGAGGCGGATGAAATCCAGGTATACATTTCAAAGCTCTCAACTTTTTTTTTTTTCTTTTTTTTTTGTTAACGAATAAAAATTATAGAATTCTTTTATGTGTTATCAATGGTGTCTTGAATATGTTGATAGGATTATATAGAAACACTGCAAAAGCTTCCGAAGGCCAAAATATTTGATTTGTTTCAGAGAAGATATTTGCGATCTGTCACTGTAAGTTTATTTTCTTGACAACTCTTGTTGGCTACTTTAAAAAAAAGAAAAAAAGATTTTTATAATTGTAGTCTGAATCTTGTTTTGACCATATTTATTGAGAAGATTGGGGTTGGACTAATGGTCTGTCAACAATTTGGAGGAATCAACGGAATATGCTTTTACACAAGTAGTATTTTTGAGTCTGCAGGTAAACCTTCTGGATTCACAATCATTGATGCTTCCAATTCCATAGAAACCCTACGGCTGCATTTATTACACTGAACTAGATAAGCTTTCTAGGGCTATTTTTAATGATGAGGATAAGGAGGGCATTCATGTCTTTTGCACAGACAAGAGATCAAGAGCAAGTCCTTGTTCCATCTTTTTGGGTGGTACTTTTGTCCCATTCACACCGGTGTCAGTCTCAGTCCAATGCATGCCAAAGGCAGTATAACCTGTTCTGTTCTGTCATGTCATGTGTGACTAATGGGGCCTATGGAGCATCTTCATTAATTTTGATGCATGATCTTTTCAGGGTTTCCTGCTGATATTGGAACAATAATCTACGCGATCCTTCAGGTTATTAAAAGATTTGAAAATAGAATTATCTTACTAGTTATGAAGTGCTACTTATCTTCTTTCATATATTTTTATCAGGTCATAATTACCGCCTTAAATGCACTCTTTGTGGACAAAGCCGGTAGAAAGCCACTATTACTGGTAAACTTTAATATTTTATACCACACAATCCATTAAAAATCTTCTTCAATTTAAATAAAAGTATTTTTCAAGGTTTCAGGAGCTGGTTTGGTTATGGGTTGTTTACTAGCAGCACTTTCATTCTACTTTAAGGTATTCATCAGATATATTAACATCTGACTTGACACATAGTGTAAAGATTCTTTTAATATTCCTTCTAGTAATGAAATTTTTTTTTTATCTAATTAATAATTATTTTGTGCACCAGACTTATGAAATAGGACTAGCAGCAGCACCTGCACTAGCTGTAACGGGCATACTGGTAAATATACATCATTTGCAAAACTTTAGTTATGAATAAAAGTAAATAAATAAATAAATGAGTTTTGAAATCGTTTCTTGAATGCAGTTGTACATAGCATCATTTTCAGCAGGAATGGGAGCGGTTCCTTGGATTATAATGTCTGAGGTATATACATATATATTGACATGAATACAATTTTTTTCATTATTTTCAAATTCACAAATGACCATAAATATAATTAAACACACAAATATGTTGTATGTAGATATTTCCTATTAACATCAAGGGTGCCGCTGGAAGCCTAGCAACACTAACAAACTGGTTTGGCGCGTGGGCAGTATCATTCACTTTCAATTTTCTATTGAGCTGGAGTTCTTATGGTAATTTTAACACTTAAATTAGCATAACAAAATGAGGAAATTGAAAGAAATAGCAACATACTTTTGTTTCTTTGTATAATAACATTGCTAAAATTTGGTGGATTTTCAAAGTATAATGCTGTAATAGGAAAAAATGAAAGTAGAATGCTACTGTAAGCAAATCAATGGAAGTAGGTTGCTATTTCTTGCATTTAACATATATAAGATTAACATGTTGTATATATGTTGTTACAGGCACCTTCTTGGTATATGCAGCGATAAACTTAGCTGGTATTGTGTTTATAATTATTATGGTTCCTGAAACAAAAGGAAGAACTTTGGAGCAGATACAAGCTGCCATTAATAATTAAGACACCATTGTTCAAATCCCAGATAACTTGTAGCAATAAATAAATATACAATTGTTTAAATCCCATCTTCATGTATTTCAGTTTCACTCTGTTCATATTCATTGTATTCTAGTTCCACTTTATTTATAACTACTGTAATTTCCCTTCTGTATTATTGTGTATTTGGATCCTTGTACCAATCAACATTAAGTTGTAATTCCGGTTTATTTGTTTAGATAGACCTTTTTTAAGTGTTCCAAATTTTATTATAAGAATTATAGGTGATTGATTTAATGTCAAATGAGGCATTTTCTTATAATTTCTTAAAATTAGTTATATTATGATTGTTTCTTGTAAAATCTATTAAATACAAGAATAACTGATTTAAATTGTAAAAGGAAAAAATATTTTTTGTTTTTGTTTTTTTTTTTAGAATTTATGACCCCAACTGCTATAAATTTATTAAAATAACCGTTATTGGCAATGGGTGGTGGTGTGTGGTTGGGTTCAGATTGACATTTTTAATTGATCGTAAACATGTTGAAAATGTCAACACATATCAACTTGTTTAACTACAAAGTTGAGTACACTGACTTTAGAAATTATAGTTTGTAAACTAGAATCGCCACAAACAAAACCCAATTGAACACTAGTAACATCTTTAACTTCCTATTAGATCTTGAAGCTTGTTTATTGACTTTAGCAAACCAGGGATGATAGTTCTTGCACAATCAGACATATCTTCATCAACCCAGCCAATAAACCCATATTTTCGTCCCTGAAATTTTTAGAAATTCAGTTAGGGACCAAATGTGTAATTTTGGCCAAAGCACAAGGGATACTTTTGCCCAAACATAGGGACGAATCGTCTTCCTCCTCATTCCTTCAATAGACGGTCTACGTACTCCGATTCTTCTGGTACTACTACCATTGTCCTATGTAAACTCTTCCAACATACACTCGTAACACTCGGATCTGCGATCCATTGATCCGATAATTTCTGCCAACTTTAAATTCAAACATAATAGCTGCGAAAGGAAGTAGCTACGGCCCCTAAGGATTTCGGTTCACATCTCGCCGGAGGCAAACGCAGGTACGTCCAAATCGGAAGAACATGTGCCCTACATCCTTCCCATTGTGCTTAGTTTCATGTTTACGACTTACAAGTCGAATTATATCATGCAAAACAATCAGTCGTTGATCATTAGGTTTATTATGATGTCTCTGTTATTCATGCAATCATGCGTCTATAATGCGAAGTTTGAGATATGAAGATTTGGAAGTTCAAAGGAGTTTGAACAAATCTCTGCGTAATAGCTGGTAGCTACATTAGGTAATTTCAATCGTCAATAATCGGGTTAGCACTTAGCCGCCTAGCACATACATTATGCAAAACAAGCAGTTTTTGATTGGCTTTATTCTGATCTCTCTTTTGTTCATACGTTTAGAAGTCAAATTGTTTGAAATACGAAGATTTCTCAGTTGAACGGATCTCTATTGAGTATTGAATCATTTCCATAGCCAATTTAATTAGCCAAAAGTTGGTTTAACCACATGATTGCAGACATTGAAAGACCCTAGCTTTGATAGTTATAGAGACCAGTCGGTTGAAGCTGAAGAAAAGAAAGAAGTTTTTTAGACTCTGTGGTTAATAAGAGAAATACGTTTCTGTTTAGCAAACATGAAGAAAACGTGTCATATCATTAACAATTATTGATGTTCCTCTGGAGCTAAGAAACCGGAATTTTCATCATGGGATGTCAAGTATCAAGTTACAATGTTGATGATAGTGATTTGGTTTCCTGTGATTACCATATGTTGTCGTGTTGAATGGTATTTTAGTCTTTTTTTACTAATAGTCAAGACACATGAAGTAAACTTGCATGTATTGAATCGTTGCAATTTTAATGCAAATTAAATCTGAATTTTTTTTCACTTCAACAGTTGATCTACACATCTTCATAAGCAATTTTTGGAATCTTACGAGACATAATACTCATTGGAACTTTACAGATACTATTTGTAGCGAAAGAGGTACAAATAATCATGGCTAATAAAAAAGATATAGAGAGAAGAGACAGAGGTCAAGATGGGTTTAGAGCTCCACTTGTATCTCACGATGAAAGAAAGGAGAATAATTTCATGGTTTACCTCAGCACATTTGTTGCAGTGTGTGGTTCTTATGCATTTGGAACAGGTGTAAGTGCTAAATTCGGTTAGCTGTTTAATTTATCTTCTCCAAACTTAGAATACTAAAACCATGTTGGATTTCATATCAATATCTCACAAGTTTCACATGTGAAAATCTTGTTGGTGCCAATCATGATTCGATTGACTTTTACTCTTCAGGTTGGCTATTCATCCCCTACCGAGGCTGGCATCAGGAGAGATCTAAATCTAACAATGGCACAGGCGAGTTTTTACAGCATTTAGCCCAAGTGCATTATAATCTTTTTGAAACATAATTATCAAGCAATATAAATATAAAGCAAAGACATTTTGAAATATATAAAGTCTAATTATATGTTTTTGTTGTCTTTGTAGTATTCTTTATTTGGGTCAATATTGACATTTGGTGCAATGATTGGTGCCATAGCAAGTGGGCCCATGGCTGATTTATTCGGTCGTAAAGGGGTAATTAAGTTAACCATTATCATTTAAATTACCTTCCAACTTTTTACAAAATCAAAAAATTAAATCTTCTAATCAACTATTGAACAGGCATTGAGAATATCAAGTGTTTTCTGCATAGGAGGTTGGCTAGCCATTTATTTTGCTCAGGTAGTCACCATTTTTACTCACAGAAGTCATTAAATCTTTAAAACAGAATGACGAAATAATTTTTTTTTTATATTATCATGGAAAGGGCCCTATGCCTCTGGATATTGGAAGACTAGCAAATGGATTTGGAATGGGAGTCTTTTCCTATGTGGTAGGTACATCACTCTGCCTGAAATTATTAAACTTATATGACTAATTATAACTATTTGTTTGCATAGGATAATGAACATCTTTAAATCTTTAATGCTGTAAGGTACCTGTGTTCATAGCTGAAATAGCACCCAAACAATTACGAGGCTTGTTAACAGCAGCAAATCAGGTTGTCAATGCAAAATCCCATTTTAGTATTTAACTATTTATAATTCAACATGCAAAATTTAATTATTTTAAGTGTTTCTGATTACTTTGCAGCTCTTAATCGTTACTGGAGTGTCAGTTTCCTTTGTAGCAGGAACAATCCTACATTGGCGAACCATGGCTTTGGCAGGTTTCTGGAAATCATTATGTACTTCCTTTCTTTCTTTCAATCAAGATTTTTTCCACCAATGGCACTAATAAATAATAAATAAGAATTAATATAGTTATGTCTACAAGAGCTAAAGAATATCACATCCTTTTAAAACAAAAGGCGAAAAAGGAACAAAAAGCAACATCATCTACCTAAACCTTACTAACAGGTGATGAAATGTGAATCACAATGATTTGGTTGCAGGATTGATTCCATGTGGTGTTTTACTATTGGGCCTCTTTATTATACCAGAATCTCCTAGATGGCTGGTAAGGTTTAAGTGAAAAAAAAACACAAAGTATTATAATTATAAAGGTGAAGATTTAAGAAATGTTGATATGCATATTGCATTCAGGCTAAGATAGGAAAACAAAGGGAATTTGATGCTGCACTAAGGAAACTTCGTGGGGAGGAAATTGATGTATCTGAGGAGGCAGCTGAAATCAGGGTTTTCATTTCAAACCTTTTCTTTTTTCACAGAATTATGAAAATTGAGAGGGGTATCAATTAACAAAATGTTGCAATATTTCACAGGAATATATAGAAACACTGGAAAGGCTTCCAAAAGCCAGACTAATTGATTTGTTTCAGAGCAGATACTTGAGTTCTGTTATTGTAAGTTTTTGATATTGTTACTAGATCTTTTTGATGACACTCATGTAACATGAAAAGGTTTAATGCTAACCTTGTTTTATCCACTTCTAATGAGAAGATAGGAGTTGGGCTGATGATCTCTCAACAATTTGGAGGAATAAACGGAATTTGTTTTTACGCAAGCAGTATTTTCGCGTCTGCAGGTACTTACAATATCTATGTGCTCAACCCAAATTTAACTAAGTTCTTTTAAAAAAAATATACATACATGTGATGCGAACATCACTACGTAAGGGGCATTAGGAATGTTAGAGGGCCAGGTGTCATCATCTGCTTACAAGTAGACATGTTGTTTGGTGGAACTGAAAAATCCTCATTTAAGGAGCTATATATGTATGATGTAATTCAAAATAATACCCAAAAGTGGCTAGGGTTTATAATGAAAGAAGGGAAGAAAAATTACAAGTTCATACACAAGAATACATGTACATTATTTGGTAATTCGGTAGGGAAGAAAACAGAAATAAAAAGGTGTACCATTTTATTAAAAGATTGCGAGAAGTACGCTAGTAGAAAACTAGAGTTCCTCTTCTAAAAAACATATTTGAAGACTTTTTTGGTGTAAGGATGAGAAACATGATCGATTTGAAAATTATGAGAGGTCTATGTGCAAGCGGTATCCCTTTTAGCGTGTTGCACAATCCTTAGTTTCTTGAGATGGTAAACGCAATCAACAAAGAACCATCTAGGTTAAAAACCCCTATCAAGCGAAAAAAAAAAAGTGAGAAAAGTTTTGATTTAAGAATGGGTCAGAGATATAGAAAAAAGATTTAACACTCGTAAAGATATACATTATTCACTAGGTGTTTCAATTATATATGATGGGTGGCCAAACGTCAAGCACAATCCATTGATTAGTGTCATTGTTGTTGTGAATAGTCGTGGATCTATGTTTATGTATGTAGAGGTTTTTTTAGTTTAGATAAAACATGAATAGTAGCAAAATTTTGGAGCTATTGAATTGGTAGGACCAAACAATGTTCTTCAAGTTAAGATAAACAATTCAAAGCAAAAGAGGGAGATTGAGAAGGTA